AATTAAATTTTTTTTGTTTTGATGTCTAGTTATTTGTGTTTTTGTTATGTGCTTATCGTGAACAGTTTGGTTTGGAAATTTTTTTTAGCGATGTAATAAATGTTGTGATAGATGTTTGGTATCCCTGACCATTACCAGGTAAAATTGCTCTTGTGACTCCTTGTTTGTTTGATTGAAGAAAATACTGAACACTCTTGCAATTTGCTTTTGGCTTTGAAATTTCTTTGTAAAGTTTTCTGAATGGCTTTATTTTATCTAGTTTTCGCTATGACACTTGTTCACACACTTCGTCTTTCTTTGGTTAATGCAAAATATACACTGGAAGGCGCTCAAACTGAAATCTGCTGGACTGCTGGGATTTCTTTGGTTTAGCTGGGTTTTAGGTTTAGAGAGGTTGCTCAGATAAAAGTTTAAAAAATCAAGGATTATAATTTCTTGCGGTTGACTGCTGTTTTCGGATTAACCTTGTTTGGTTTATGTGAACTTCTCTGTATATTTTTACGTCATTAATTCTGTAATGGTATCAGTTGAGTTGCACATACTTCAGTCACCACTTTATTCTGTCGGGTTACTTAAACACCACATGTGTTGTTCATCCACAGGCGTCCAATTTATGGAATGTCATCACACAGTATAAGCCCATTCTTGTGGAGCCGAAAGGAAAAGCTGCATTCAACGAGGTATGTTGTAACTGCGTGTGAGGTGTAATAGGAAAACAATGTTCTCTCTTGGTTAGGGCTGTTTTCTTGTATTTACATTGTAATTCGACTTTTTTTGTACCTCAGCTCAGTGTCGTTTGTTTTAGCTCAGTTGCTAATGATTTACAGTAGATGTGTCAGCAAAATATCATTCCTTTCACTGTACTTTGAGAATTTTCCTTGGTTTTCTTTGCTTAAATGATAGGAATACGGTATTTCAGGATCTTAGTTCCTTTTATGTCTTTATATTCTTTCTCTTCAAGGTGTATTCTTTAGCTGTTACTCTGTTTTTGGTATATGTACTTATAAGTTTTAGAATTATTTCTGCAAATACTTTTCTTGTTTCTTTTTCACAGGCAATGATTGAATTTTATGACAAAGTTCATGACCCTGCCCTCAGTGGTGCCATCTTCATGGCTGTATGCAGAGGAAAGGTAGGAATACAGCTTCATTTGTGTATTTTCTTGTTCATTTCTTTTTTTTTCCTATGTTTTTCGTCATAAATTTCCAGTCTACTTTTGTCAAATGCATTTCGGCAGCGTCGCAACCAAAAAAAAATCTCCAATATTCTTTCTTGCCATGTAGGCTAAAGCAGGGCCAAGCTGACTTCTAAGGACTGCATTGATTTATCTGTAAAGTTAGGTGATCACTTATATAGACGTTGTATCCCACATTTTTGGCCTAAAAGAGTGATTCTTATGGAAAAGTGGCTCCCGGTTTCTTAATGAATATGATAACTCCTACTAGTGCAATCTTGTTCTCCTCTTGTCAACAAAATTTTATCTTACAGATGAACTTTTTTTTATACCATATGAATTGTAATAAATTACTTATTTTTCTATTAAAACTACTGTTCTAGGTCAGTGAAGGACTAGACTTTGCTGACAACAACGGGCGGGCTGTGTTGATCACTGGTCTACCTTTTCCTCCCATATTTGACCCAAGGGTGCGGCTCAAGATGGATTTTCTCAGGGAGAACAAGAAATATTTCAAGGTGATGTATGGTGTGACTGTGTAAAATGGAGTATACTGGTTTGATTCTGTGCAGATTAGTTACCGGACCTACTATTTTCTTTCCTTATCAGTTCCTTAGTTTATATATAATATTCAGTCTTTCTGATGAGCTGCATATTCTTTGGATATTTTAAAGTTGAAATTTAATTTTGATTTTGTGTTTGAAGAAGAGGAAGTGATTCAAGTGACCCAGGTCAACAGCTGTAGGAAAATTCTAAGAAATTAGCAAAACTTACTTAAGTAAGTTGAAGTTTGTTTCTGATTTTGCCGAAACTGATGACCGGAACAGAGTATTTAAAAACGATAGATCATTGGCATGTGCAATTCGCCATTCAGATATTTGGTCGAGAAATGAAGTCTCCCAAGGTTAGCCCTGACAGGCAGGGTCAAAGCAGCTTGCCTCCAAATGGTGAAAATTTTGTCTTGGAGTACTTCTCAAACATATACAATAGTCATACAGGAAGATAGTTTGCTTGACGTGTACGCTTTACTTTCTGTACGCCGTGTCTTAAGTCTAACTTTTTCGTTTGCAAACATGTCAGTTGATACTGATGTTCATATTTTAAAAAATGCAAAATGAGATAGTAATTAAAAATACAGAGAATTTTTGTAAAACAAAGAGTGGTAAAATATTAATGTCATTTGTTTCTTTCAGGGTCTGGACGGCAACGCATGGTACAAACAACAGGCAACAAGAGCAGTGAACCAAGCCATCGGTCGTGTCATTCGCCACAAAAAAGACTATGGGGCTATCATACTCTGCGATACCAGGTTTAACTGCTCTCTTATCTCTTTTTCCTTTTTATGTGGTTTATTTGATAAGTCCGTGGTGGACTTGGTAAATGAAAAAAATTGTTATATTTCCTATTTCAGTCATTGAAAGTTAGTAAATCTACTAATGTAAAGTTGCTTTGTAACACCGCCAGTGAACTGGCTGTCAGAGGTACACATTATACACGACGTATGGCACCCACTTGGCAGCTGCATTGTAGAAGTCTCTCTTTCTCGTACACATTTGTTCATGATGGCCACATACAGGAAGCCTGACGACGATCGCATCAAGTCTTGGACAAAGGATATAACTCATTATAATATTATTCTTTATGTAGTCATGGCAGAATCTCTTCCCTTGACGCTGTTCAGTTGGTGTTATTCAACAAAGGACAGTTTTAAAATTGTTAAAATACCGGGTTAACAAAGTTTGACTGCTTTTTCTTATCCGCCGCGTGCAGTAGAGTGTTGTTTCATGCTAAATATATTCATGGGGCATTGAGTGTTGAAGCTTATGTGATCTGGTCTACAACCTTCTGAGTTTGCAGGATGCTGTTGTGAAAGAATTTTAGTGACATAATACAGTTTGTAGATGGTCTGCACTTTCCTCCTGCATTTATGGTCTAAATTGTCATGTTTGTTGGTTTGTTTTTTTTCTCCTATAAAAAGGGGAATACTTTCTTTGCTCGCACAGGTTTTCTTCTGAAAGCAGCAAGAATTCCTTACCAAAGTGGGTCCGAGGCCATGCCCAAGTCTATACAAACTTTGGCCCAGCTCTCCGAGATGTGATCAAGTTCTTTAAAGATGCAGAGAAGGCTGTGAGTGTGTGTGTTCAAGATGTACATATTTGAGACTAATGGCTAGTTGCTTTGCTTATAGTGTTGCAAGGAGTAATATATACTGTTCCATTCTTGGGTTTACATCTGTTTTATTGTGAGTACATTTTCTTTGCACTGTAATCATTACTTGTTTTCTTCCTTACATTATTTTAGCGCGCGCTCATATAACCTAATGCAGTTGCGAGTGCCGTAAAACACTTACCCCCCAAAAATGATTTCAGCAATGAAGCTATGTATGTTTCTAAAACGTTATTTTCATTATTCTCCTGTTGTTTATACAGAACAATAGTATCAGTTAATGTTTTCCAATAACACATTTTTTATTGTTTAATTTTGTTTCAAAGTGGCAAATTGTTGAAGAATGATCATAGTACTATTTGTATGAATTTGTTGCTAGTTTTTATAGGCTTTCTGCTGGCTACTTTCTTATCTCTGTTGTTTCCTCTTTGTTTTGCCATGCACATCATGAGTTTCATGGCTTTTATGTCTCATACTCGTTAGTGATTGTGAGAACATTTGTTCCTTACACTCTGCAGTTTCCGTTATTATATTCCCAGTTTACAACAAGTTTTCCAGTGTTTGTTTGACTCTCAGGAATGCCATTTTTTTTAGTTATTTCCGTTATTTTCACTAAAAGAGAGGCTATTATTGTAAGCGTTTGTTTTTTAACTCAATTTTTGTTGTGTCTAGTAATTGTCCTTTTGTTTGTAAATGAGACTTTGTAAATTTTCGGGAACTTTCACAAAATACCAGTGGCATCCCTGGATTTTTATGCTGTTTTGTTCCTAGAAATATGTGAGCAATGTGCTCTTGAAGTTATATCTAGTTGCAAAATCAACTTTCAATCTATGAAGAAAGGAAACAGAAAAAAAAAAATTTACACCGCAACCCCTAGCAACTCCTGCCTCTGATAAAGTATTTTTTGTTCTGTTGGTGTCTAGTATCCGTTGCTTGTTGGGGTGGCTGGATCTCATCCTGGCAGAAGGTCACATATGGGTCACGATGAGGAAGGCGGGGTCATCAGCGGTGCATGCTTTGAGCCGAGCTTCTCTCGCAGGTCAAACGGCAAAGGTCATCTGTCAGTGGAGTACGAGCCTGCCAGTAGCGTTGCCTGTCATATACCTGGCCTGAAGTCTTCTGATGGTATGATGTTTTTACCTTGCGTATTATCTTTTTCTTACACTTGTCTTATACTCTTGATCTGGTAGGACAATTTGAATTAGATGCATTTGCTAGTCTAGTCAACTGAATTTTTATGTGGTTCAGATGCTATGGCTTATTTCAAATTTTTCATCACGAAGAACTGTGTGTCCTGAGTAATTTTGCTTGTTTTTAATGTGTTCAGGAACAGTATTTGGTTTGTTCATGTGTCAGTATAAACTCTAGCATAACGTTAACAGTACAGTGAAATCGTTCTGCCATGTCTATGACATGAATTTAGTTTTCTTGCTAAATTACAAGCCTTGTTCGTCCACTTCAGGAGGTAGTGTGCACCCCCCCCCCCCC